GCCGCACCCTATGACACAAAATGGAACCCACCAGCAAGTGTAGAGGAGGGACCATTAAAAGTGGCAACATTGCAGAGTTTTTGGGGCATTATTCAAGTCTGATTTAGTTCCCAGTTGTTTGTAGGCCGGACTGGGGACCATGAGCAATCTCTGGACCTAATGCAGCAGCTGATTCAGGATTTCCACGTAAACAGCCAGTCTACTCCCATGGTGGACCAGTCGTGTCCATCCCGGAGTTACAAGGGGGGAAAAACTCCTGGCAGCATGGCAATAGTGTGGCTCCGATGCCTGACAGCAGCCCTGGGGCCGGCGCCATTGAAAGGGACCCATCCAAGGACACTGTGGACCCCAGCAGTGTGAGGAGCCAATATGACAAGTGTCGGCCCATGGCCAGATTAGGATTGTCTACATCGCAATGGAGGGTGCTGTAATCTGGCCATCAGGCCCCCAAGGCAAAACTGTTGGAGTCCTGCTCCAGGTCCAACATGCTGCTGCTGATGCCTGGTTAGTATTTTCCAAGGCAAGTTTGCGCGATGGAGACCAGCAGCAATGCTGGACCATGATCAGGGAGCGAGCATGAGACTCTGAGGCGGCAGCAGGCGGTACAGGGGCCCATGTTGGCAAGATTTACAGGGCCTGCAGCAGCAATGGGAGGGCCCGTAATCTGCCACTCACCCTATTGACTCAAAAAATGGAACACACCAGCAGCAGTTGAGGAGACCTGAAAGTGGCACATGCAAGAGTGTCGCAGATGGAGACAGCAGACCAATGAGAGCCGTACATAGCGGACCCATGAGAGACTCTGACACACTGGCAGCAGCGCAGTCCAGCAGGCTGTGAAACGGGGGCCTCATGGCAGATTACGGGCCTGGCAGCAAGCAAGGAGGAAGCCGTAATCTGCCAGCATCCCTATGACATGGTTATGTAACACACCAGCAGAGTGAGGAGACCTGAAAGTGGCACATGGCAGAGTGTGGCGATGGAGACAGCAGCAATGGGAGGCCGGACAGGGACCCATGAGAGACTCTGGACCTGGCAGCAGCATGAGGAGGCGGTACAGGGGCCCATGGCAGATTAGGGGCCTGGCAGCAGCTATAGGAGGCCCGTAATCTGCCAGCACCCTATGACAAAAAATGGAACCACACCAGCAGTGTGAGGAGACCTGAAAGTGGCACATGGCATGAGACACTGTACAGGGACCTGGCAGCAGCATGAGGAGGCGGTACAGGGGGCCCATGGCAGATTAGGGGCCTGGCAGCAGCTATGGGAGCCCGTAATCTGCCAGCACCCTATGACAAAAATTGGAACACACCAGCAGTGTGAGGAGACCTGAAAGTGGCACATGGCAGAGTGTGGCGATGGAGACAGCAGCAATGGGAGGCCGTACAGGGACCCATGAGAGACTCTGGACCTGGCAGCAGCATGAGGAGGCGGTATAGGGGCCCATGGCAGATTAGGGGCCTGGCAGCAGCTATATGGGAGGCCCGTAATCTGCCAGCCACCCTATGACAAAAAATGGAACACACCAGCAGTGTGAGGAGACCTGAAAGTGGCACATGGCATGAGACACTGTGGAGCAGCAGCATGAGGAGGCGGTACAGGGGCCCATGGCAGATTAGGGGCCTGGCAGCAGCTATGGGAGGCCCGTAATCTGCCAGCACCCTATGACAAAAAATGGAACACACCAGCAGTGTGAGGAGACCTGAAAGTGGCACATGGCATGAGACACTGTGGACCTGGCAGCAGCATGAGGAGGCGGTACAGGGGCCCATGGCAGATTAGGGGCCTGGCAGCAGCTATGGGAGGCCCGTAATCTGCCAGCACCCTATGACAAAAAATGGAACACACCAGCAGTGTGTGAGGAGACCTGAAAGTGGCACACATGGCATGAGACACTGTGGACCTGTCAGCAGCATGAGGAGGCGGTACAGGGGCCCATGGCAGATTAGGGGCCTGGCAGCAGCTATGGGAGGCCCGTAATCTGCCAGCACCCTATGACAAAAAATGGAACACACCAGCAGTGTGAGGAGACCTGAAAGTGGCACATGTTTGGGGCATGATTCATGGCGGATTTAGTCAGTTGTGTCAGGAACTGTGGTTTGAAATCCAAGACTAATCCACGCCTGATTCATTTTCACAAACGTGAGTCTCTCCACACTTTGGGTGGACAGTCGTGTCCTCCGCGGAGTTACAATACCTCCTGCCGCACTAAACACGCGCTCCGATGCCACGCTACTGGCCGGGCATGACAGCCTTTCAAGGGCAAATTCAGCTAGTTGGGGCCAATGGTCAAGTTTCGTTGCCCAGTAGTCAAGGGGATTGTCTACCTCGGTTGGCAGGGTGCTGTCCAAGTAGGCCCAAGCCTGTTGTTTGAGGTCCTGCTCCAGGTCCACCTGATGCTGCTGCTGCTGGTTAGTAGTTTTCCTCACTGCGCTGGTGAAGAAAGCTACTCATCATCGACTGCAGACTGAGGCAGCCGCTGCTGGTGGAGCTGCCGCTGCTCCTACCACCCCACCCCTCCCCTCCCTGCTGCCATGGCAGCGGAACGCGAGCGCACAGGGCCCACAGTGTCTGAGGATGGACGTTGGCGCACAAAGGCAGAGACCAACTGACTACATAGGTGGTTTTTATAGTACGTTATTTTGGCCTCCCTCTCAGCAGGTGTGTGAAAAGGCCACCATTTTTGAACGGTAGCGAGTGTCCAACAAGGTGGACAGCCAAAAGTCATCTCTCTGTCTGATGGTTATTATTCGGCTGTCGCTACGCAAGCAACCGAGCATGCTATGGGCCATTTGTGCCAAGGAATGCGAGGGACTCCCTGCCTCCATCTCCACAGCATACTGCCACGGTGTGTCTGGGTCCTCTGTCTCCTCCTCCTCCTCCTCTACCAGATGCTCCTGCTCCTCCACTCCTGTCCGCTGAGTGGAAAAACCACCCATTTCACTCAATAATTCCTGAGCACAAATGTCCTCCTCTACCTCCTCCTCTTCTTCCTGTCCTGCCCCCACAGGGGTCATGTGGCGTTGAGATCGTGCGCCACGTCTACCGCACCCTGACCAGCCATTGTTAACAGCATTTGTTCCAGGATGTGCAACAGAGGAATGACGTCGTTCATCCCATAGTCCTGCCGACTCACGAATAGCGTGGCCTCCTCAAAGGGCCTGAGCAAGCGGCAGGTGTCACGCATGAGCTGCCAATGGCTGACATCGAAGTTACACACAGGGGAGTACCTTTATCCGCTTGTAACATCAGGAAATCGGTGATGGCCTTTCGCTGTTCGTAAAGGCGGTCTAACATGTGTAGGGTTGAATTCCACCTTGTTGCAACGTCGCAGATCAGGCGATGCTGTGGAATTCCGTTCTGCCGCTGCAGCTCAAGGAGGGTGTGCTTTGCGGTGTAGGAATGGCTGAAATGCATGCAAAGTTTACGTGACATTTTAAGGATGTCTTGCAGTGGGATGGTGGATTTTAGGAACCGCTTGACAACCAGATTGAACACGTGAGCCATGCATGGCGCATGGCACAACCTTCCTTGACGCAGAGCAGACACCATGTTCTTTCCGTTGTCGGTCAACATGGTTCCGATTTTCAGTTTGCGCGGAGACAGCCATCTGTCGATTTCTCTGTTCATTACACTGAGAAGTTCCTCCCCTGTGTGACTACGTTCGCCAAGGCATACCAGGTGCAGCACAGCGTGACACCGTTGCGCCCTGCACATATGATATGCCCGTCGGGTAATGGGACTTGGCACGGGGGTGGCGGCTGAGGACACGGCGGAAGAAGAGGTGGTAGAGGCGGACATCTTTTGTGGACCAAGGACGTGCAAACGTGGAGGCAAAAGCGGCGTGACCTGTCCAAGTTGCTGGTGCGGCTGTGACGGCACCACGTTCACCCAGTGGGCCGTAAATGACATGTACTGTCCCTGACCGTAGTTACAGCTCCACACGTCGGCGCTGCCGTGCACTTTGGCAGAGACCGACATGCTCAAAGACTGGCCCACCATCTCTTCTACATGTGAATGCAGGGCTGGCACTGCCTTTTTGGCGAAAGAAATGACGGCTTGGCACTCTCCACCGCGGCGCGGCACAAGCCATCATTTCTCGGAAAGGTGCTGAGTCCACCACTTGGAAAGGGAGGGACTGCAGCACCAGCAACTTGGACAGGAGGACGTTCAGCTTTTGCACCGTCGGGTGCGTGCTCGCAAACTGTTGTCTCTTGGAAACGGATTCCAAGAAAGACTGCTGACGGAATCCGTGAAGAGGAGTAGCAGGAGAAGGAGCATCTGAACGAGCGGAAGATGCCAACGAGCGACAACTCCCCTCAGCAGAGGTGTTGGAGCCTTGACTGGCTGATAGAGGGTGATTGAAGTCGGGTGACGGAGCAAGTAACGGAGCGGGTGATGGAGCGGGGGCTGGGGCAGGCAGAACCGCCGTATCTTTATCACGGTTTTCCCAGGCCACCAAATGGCGACGCTGCATATGCTGCCGCAACGCTGTAGTCCCAACATGGGCCCCCTGGCCACGCTTGACTTTCTGGCCACATAGTCGACATACGGCTACGTTTACTTCCTCGGGCGGCTTGACAAAAAATTGCCACACCGCCGAGTAGGAAACTTTGCCCCCGATACTCCTCACTGGCTGACTGCTGCTTCCTCCGTGCACACCGGCACCACTACTGGCCGTGGTGGTAGGCTGCAGTGGAGCTGTGTGCTCTACTCCGTGGCTGTTTGGCTCCACTGACACTGCTGCGACCCTGCTGCCTCCTGGGCAACCCACCGACTGTTTTGCTCGCTGCCAAGCTGCCACCCTCTTCTCCTGATGATGCGGAAGCAATAGCCTGATGACGACGAGGCTGCCAAGTGCGATCAGCCTCATCATCATCAATTAGGGTCTCCGCCTCACTACTAGCCCCCTCGGCTGCGTGTGGGTCAGGAGACAGACCTGTCTCTAGACCGGCTACCGAGCCACTCTCCTCGCCACTACTACTTCTTCGCCTGGCTGCTGAAGAGGCAGATGTCTCCCCCCGTTCCTGACCGCCCTCTGTTAGCTCTTCCTCACTGTACAGTGGGGCTGAGCCCACAGCATGCGATACTTTGCTTGGTGAGGGAACACCAAAGGACAGGGGCAGGTAGAGGACACGTGATTTCAGTGGGCTTGCTCCCGGGCCATGCCAACTAACGGTTGTGTCTGACGTACCCACCGACCGTTGGCTGTAGGTGTCAGAGGTGACCTGGGAAGAGGAAGACGACCGAGCCAACCAATCGATGATGGCAGGGTTGTCGGTGGAGACACGACCGCTGGATGACACCGGGAGCACAGGCCTCTGGCTGCGACTAGTGCTGCCTCGACCCCTTCCTCTGCTGCCACGTCTCTGCTCGCTCCTAAAACATTGCCTCCTCTGCCACTCCTATGCATGTTGTCTGACATACTCTTTAATTAAACGATTCTGTGTCCCTGAGTAACAATTCTCTGTGTCTGTCCCTGAGTAACAATTCTGTGTCCCTCAGTAACAATTCTGTGTCCCTCAGTAACAATTCTGTGTCCCTCAGTAACAATTCTGTGTGTCTGTCCCTGAGTAACAATTCTGTGTCTGTCGCTGAGTAACAATTCTGTGTGTCCCTCAGTAACAATTCTGTGTCCCTCAGTAACAATTCTGTGTCTGTCCCTGAGTAACAATTCTGTGTCTGTCCCTGAGTAACAATTCTGTGTCCCTCAGTAACAATTCTGTTTCCCCTCAGTAATTATTCTGTGTCCCTGAGTAACAATTCTGTGTCCCTCAGTAACAATTCTGTGTCCCTCAGTAACAATTCTGTGTCCCTCAGTAACAATTCTGTGTCTGTCCCTGAGTAACAATTCTGTGTCCCTAAGTAACGTTTCTGTGGCCCTAAGTAACGGTTCTGTGGCCCTCAGTAACAAATCTGTGTCCCTCAGTAACAATTCTGTGTCTGTCCCTAAGTCACAATTCTGTGGCACTAAGTAACGTTTCTGTGGCGCTAAGTAAAGTTTCTGTGGCCCTAAGTAACGATTCTGTGGCCCTAAGTAACGTTTCTGTAGCCCTAAGTAACGTTTCTGTGGCCCTAAGTAACGTTTCTGTGGCCCTAAGTAATGTTTCTGTGGCCCTAAGTAACGGTTCTGTGTCCCTCAGTAACAATTCTGTATCCCTCAGTAACAATTCTGTGTCTGTCCCTCAGTAACAATTCTGTGTCCCTCAGTAACAATTCTGTGTCTGTCCCTGAGTAACAATTCTGTGTCCCTAAGTAACGTTTCTGTGGCCCTAAGTAACGGTTCTGTGGCCCTCAGTAACAAATCTGTGTCCCTCAGTAACAATTCTGTGTCTGTCCCTAAGTAACAATTCTGTGGCCCTAAGTAACGTTTCTGTGCCCTAAGTAAACGTTTCTGTGGCCCTAAGTAACAGTTCTGTGGCCCTCAGTAACAATTCTGTGTCCCTCAGTAACAATTCTGTGTCTGTCCCTAAGTAACAATTCTGTGGTCCCCAGTAAGTCTGTTTCTGTGGCCCTAAGTAACAGTTCTGTGGCCCTCAGTAACAATTCTGTGTCCCTCAGTAACAATTCTGTGTCTGTCCCTAAGTAACAATTCTGTGGCCCTAAGTAACGTTTCTGTTGCCCTAAGTAACAGTTCTGTGGCCCTCAGTAACAATTCTGTGTCCCTCAGTAACAATTCTGTGTCCTGTCCCTAAGTAACAATTCTGTGTCTGTCCCTGAGTAAAAAATTCTGTGTCCCTAAGTAACGTTTCTGTGGCCCTAAGTAACAGTT